TTTGATATATTAACATGGTGGAAGTCCAACGGTGTCAAGTTTCCTATCATGCAGCGGATTGCAAGGGATGTGTTGGCCATTCCTATTTCAACAGTAGCTTCGGAATCGGCTTTTAGCATGAGTGGAAACAAGGTAACGAAACAACGAAGTCGACTAAAATCGCAAACAATTGGGGCTTTGATGTGCAGCCAAAGTTGGCTAAGGAAAGAAATTGAAGGTAATAATTATATAAATTGTTTGTTGTAATAATTATGTAATTATTCTGACTTGCATTCTTAATTCTTTTATTTCAGATCAAAAACACGGAGAACCAAAAGGATTTGATCAAACGATTGGATACGATGAAGATGTCGATTGATGAGGGATTGGAGTATTGTTAATTTTACAATTTATGTGTTGCTTGAATGTTTGGAAAACACTTGTTTTAAATGTTCCATCTTCTTGGATTATTGTTAATTTTACAATTTTATTGTTTTTAAAGAGTAAAGACTAGATGTGAGTGATGTAATTAACTAATTATGTTGTTATTTTGATCATGGTTAGAAAAAACTTATTAATTTTAAATTGACCGGGGTTGACCGGGGTTGATCGGGGTTGACCGGGGTTTGACCGGGGTTGACCGAGAGTTGACCGGGGACGGGGCCGGGGCCGGGGAATCTGTACACAAACCGGGGCCGGGGCCGGGGATTGCAAACCCCGCCCCATCCCCGCCCCGTTGCCATCCCTATTTATAGGACACTTTCTCAAAAGTGTCCTATAAAGTTGCTAATGCGACACCTTGTATTAAAAATGTCCTAAAAAACTTGTTAAGACGTCCAAAAGCGTCATATAAACTTATTACAACATCTTTTGATAGAACGCTTTATATTTTGGTCCTATAAATTAAGTCCTATAAAACAGTCTATTGGGATGTTTAGAGATTGAGGATGTCTTATAAAGTCAATTTTGTTGTAATGTATTGTAATTTATGTAGTAAAGGTGAAAAAAGGTGCTTACTATTTTCTAACTTATATCAAATCTATCAGTCATTTATGAATGGCTGTTATCTATATTTGATTAAGTTGATTTCTGGCATCCGTCGATTTACATAGGAAACTTGTCATCAGCCAAGAATTGGTTGAGGGGTTGATAATTTATGACTAGCCTAAGCTTGCCACGAACTTATTCACTCCTCTTGACCAACATTGTTGGTACGACATATGCAACTGCCAAGATTGCTTGGATGAAGCATACAAAGTCGTCCTTGGCACCTAGTTATGAACCTTTTGACTACTATGTCGATGTCATAGTATTGAAGTTATCTAATATTATCCTTCGAGATATTTTATTTCTCTAAATTATTAATTTTGTCCTTTCATTCTTTTTTATTGATTTATTTCCATGGCTATTTTCTTATTCGATGTCTAATACGACACTTTGTATTAAAAATATCTTAAAAAACTTGTTAAGACGTCCAAAAACGTCATATAAACTTATTACAACATCTTTAGATAGAACGCTTTATATTTTGGTCTTATAACTTAAGTCTTATAAAGCAGTCTATTGGGACGCTTAGAGATTAAGAGTGTCCTATAAATTCAATTTTGTTGTAGTGTATTGTAATTTATGTAGTAAAGGTGGAAAAAGGTG